ACCCGTGGACCACCAGTCGCGGCAAGACCACGCCGACTGGCACCGGACAAATTAGCCTTCGCTAAACGTGAGTTTGACAATTTACTATCTGTTGGTATTATTCGTCCTTCTCACAGTCTTTGGGCCTCTCCTTTACACATGGTGCGCATAAAGGATGAGGTTAGTTGGAGACCATGCGGCGACTACCGAGCAATAAACGTAGTTACGCGCTTTGATAGCTACCCCATCCCCCACATACACGACATCACGGCATCGCTCAAGGGCACGACTATCTTTTCTAAAATCGATCTGGTACGAGCATATTACCAGATCCCAGTCGCTCTTGAAGGCATCGAAAAAACTGCTATCACGACTCCGTTCGGTCTGTTTGAGTTCCTACGAATGCCATTTGGATTACGGAATGCTGCTCAAACTTTCCAAAGGTTTATCGATAGCATAGTACGAGACTTGGATTTTGTTCACGTCTACATTGATGACCTGCTGATCGCATCATCAAACGTAGATGAACATTATCAACACCTTACGCTATTATTCCAACGTCTTTCGGATAATGGAATAGTAGTCAACCCAGAGAAATGTGAATTGGGTAAATCAGAAATAATATTTCTGGGTCACATTATCAGACAAGAGGGTATTCTGCCTTGCGAGGACAAAGTTCGAGCAATCAAGGAGTACAACGTACCGTCCTCAATCAAGGAACTAAAGGCTTTTCTCGGTTTGGTTAACTTCTGCCGACGTTTCATCCCTCAAGCGGCAGAACGGTTACGACCATTAACCGATTTACTACGCGGTAATCCACGCAAATTAGAATTGAACGATACCGCACGTACTGCATTCTCAGAGATCAAAACGGCCCTCGCTCAAGTTACACTTCTCGCTCATCCTGACCCATCAGTCACGCTTAGTATGGCGGTTGATGCATCAGATTTCGCTATAGGAGCCGTTATGCAACAGAATATCTCCGGTAGTTGGCAACCCCTTGAATTTTTCTCACGACGCCTTACTCCCACGGGGACGAGATATAGCGCTTTTGGTCGCGAACTGCTTGCAGCCTACTTCGCCATCAAACATTTCCGGCACGCAGTAGAAGGGCGCCAGTTCATTTTATTCACCGACCATAAGCCCTTAACGTATGCCCTGCATACCAAGTCTGACCGCTACTCACCACGAGAGTGCAGACATTTGGACTATATCTCCCAGTTCACGACAGACCTTCGTCACATTAAAGGCGAGTCGAACTATGTTGCCGATGCTCTATCACGTATCCAGACGAATGCAGTTACTTTACCGGTGCTCGATCTTCCTGCTATGGCCGCCGCACAAGCAAACGATCCTGTCTCTACAGAAGCACCACAACCTTCGTCCCTTCAGTGTCAGGAAGTACCCCTAGCTACTAGCTCAGGTACTATCCTATGTGATATTTCTACCGGTCTTCCTCGACCCATCGTACCCTCTGCCTATCGCCGTCTCGTCTTCGATGTCCTTCATGGATTGTCTCATCCAGATATTGCAGCCACATCACGTCTCATCGCTGCACGATACGTCTGGCCGTCCATGAATAAAGATGTTCGTATGTGGGTAAAGCAATGCCTACAGTGTCAACGATCAAAAGTGCACAGGCACGTAGCTGCCCCCATTGACACGTTCGCTACGCCTGATGCTCGCTTTGATCAAGTTCATATAGACATTGTAGGACCATTGCCACCATCGCATGGGTATGATCACATACTCACGTGCATTGACCGTTTTACAAGATGGCCCGAAGCTATTCCCATCACATCTATCACGGCGGAGACAGTTGCTCACCGCTTCGTAGAACGATGTATAGCATTGTACGGTTGTCCCTCGACTGTCACGACTGACCGAGGACAACAATTTGAGTCCGCATTAATCTCCTCACTGACCCGGCTGCTTGGTACGGAACACATACGCACCACCGCCGACTTAAAAGTGCTCTCCGAGCACACGAAAACGATAATTGGTACGAAACCTTACCGCTCGTTCTCTTAGGCATCAGAACGAGTTTGAAGGCAGATATTCAATGTTCCGCCGCTGAACTTGTGTACGGCACGACATTTCGTTTGCCTGGGGAATTCTTCACACCACGGAGCAGTAATGATTTCGGTAAATCAGACTACGTCCATCGACTGTCTGCATTTATGCGAACGCTCTCTCCGGTGTCAAGTCGAATACAACATCGACAGGTCGCTCTCCTTCGAGAGTTATCTACCTGTTCACATGTTTTCATACGAGTAGATTCGGTACGCAAACCCTTGCAACAGCCTTACGACGGCCCTTGAGACTCAATGCTAGACCTATCAAACCTTCTAGCGGGATCTCTACGTCTACCTCGGATCCCACGCTAGATACATCAGAGACCTCGTTCTCACGTCCCGGTCAACAGCACGCGTCATCTGCACCATCTACGAACGAGACTTCCGTCTCACGTCCAGCTCGGCAGACCACGCCGCCCTTGACCTCGGATGAGATCGCAGGCTCACGAAGTACGAACGAGACTACCGTCTCACGTTCCGGTCGCCGAGTACGATTACCCGTACGCTTTCGCGACTAAACGCACAGTCAATAACATATAAGGTGTAGGATTATTCCTATACTACACGCATGCTACACTTTTCTTTTTTTTGATTCTTTTATTTGTATCCTGAGCCCACGCCTCCGACCATCACCCGTTCGGTAACGTCGACTTTAGTCAACTTTGGCAAAAGGTGGTTTGGCTCTAGTGAACGCACTCAGTCGATTATCTGGTCTCGAATTCGCCTGGCATACGCTTGGTCGTTATGGTCGCTTCCGGTTTCTTGGGTCAACGTAGTTTCGTCCTACGTCTGCAGCGTTTTCTGGTTCGCATCCCTACGAACGCAATCATCAGATCCTGGATACAAACCACTCTGGTGTGGTATGCTAATTCGACCAACAAATACAGCACACTTCTCCTGGTACCGTTCTGCGCAAAAGACTTTCGTTGGAAACTCGAGGATCAACGATCACTTCCTGTTCCGCCAATTTCCTCCGTCCTACAATCGCACTTCTGCCGATCAGTTCCACGAATCGAACCGCTAACTATCGAAAGTGTAAACCCTTTCTAGCGGGGGGCTCCCGTAGTGACCTACTTTTGTCAACAGAACGCGATTGGTTCGATGGAAACAATTATTATTATAACCAATTGTACCAGTGACTGTTCTACTGTGCTCGTTTGTTTAACTGTGCTAATGACAGCCATTATACTTACTCTCCCGTTGACTTTGAACTTGTACGAATTCGATTACGCTCAGTAACCACGCTTGTACTCCTTTGGCACGATCTCGGTATTCTTTCGATACCACGAGATCGCCAACAAATACATCTCGACTACAGCCATCATCTGCCTTCTGATTTTGGCTTACCGGAATCTTATTGGTCTATTGGCACGTAGTCTTGTAGCGGTGTTTATAGTCAAGCTCAACTCGACACCACGCTACACTTTCAATCACTTTTTCGTCTTGATATTCACTAATGAAAGCCTTGATTATTGTTTCATAATGCCTAAATTGAATGAGTAATTGAAGGATAATAACGTTTGATCGATCTACCTATTTTGCTAAACCATAACTGAAACCTACGAAGCGCTCGTGAAGTTGTGTCTCTCAACCCCTTAGACTTCCCTTGTATTTAACCACTCAGTTGCATAAAGTGGAAATCCTAATGCCCGAAGCTTCATGCTGCACGTATTCTGCCATGTGATTTCTGTGGGTAAATTCCTTATTTTTGTTGCTCCCATGTCAAATATGTCTTCAAGCACCGGTATTATTAAACTGAATATTTAACAATTTTTGACCCTTCAATGAAATTAGTCGGCAAACACACTGTCTTTAAGCTCAATATACAGAAACTGGGAGGACTCATTAAGGAGTGAATAGTTGGAGAAACTCGGAAAAGTGGTCACGTTAACACCTAATCCATACATCTTTGTTCGGTCATGCAGTCGTGATTACTCGTTGCCAAATCTTTCTTTCATTGTTATATATCTTAACTGCTTGATTGTATTTCGCAAACGTTCTTAAAGAAAAATTATTTCCTGCACGATTTGACGAATAAGTATAAACATAGAGTTGCTTTGACGTTTGTATTTTAGATTAAGTAATTACGTGTTGACAAGTGAATATAATAACATAGATAAGTACACCAATTCTGGCTTAGAACCAAATACAACCAGTCGACTGATTGGCCGACAGGAATGTAACAATCAACTGCTTGTAATTGAAAGTATAAGCATGGATTTTTTAAATAACTCGACAAATATCTTTATCGTGTGTAAGAATCTATTTAACATGGAAACGCATTAGCATTGATTAAAAAATAACCGCAATAAATTTAAATGTCAACTTTAAACCAATCGCTGTGTACATGTCATCAAGTCTGACTTGATAACAACCCACTAAAAGAAAACGACATTTCACATTCAGTTGGTGACCAGAGTAGTTGTTGGGTGTGGCACACTCGACGAAGGCGATCACTTTTTGTAATTCAAGAACTTTCATTCTATCTGGCCCATATGCAATGATCAAACTGTATTATTGCTGATTAGAAAATGAGTGCATAAGAAAATTCTCTCTATTACACCAAGAACGAGGACATTTAATAGCAATTTTGTATTGTTACGTATGTAATTAATCCACTTATATTATAGAAATATGCTTCGGTAAATTTCCATACATCTCCTCTGTAAACACTAACATATATGACATCAATCAATATACCTGAAACATAAGAATCAGTGTTCATTGTCCCCCATACCAATGGTTGATCCATACGAACGAAAGAACTTCTGGGACCTTGACGTGACATGAAGAAAAATTCGAGAAATCAGTTATATATAATGTTTCAAGCAAAAACCAGCATTGAATAACGGTTATATATTCCTGAATGGTTTAGAAAAGAGTTTCGAAGAAATATTAATGCTATCACATTACAAAACTATTGTTCATTGAACATTCTAGCACGCATAAAAGTTCACCAGTTCCAACTGCGCGTTACCTTTTAGGTTATTCGTTATGGTTTGTGAAGTTTTAGATTCACTCCTCTCTTCAGTTACACTAACAACACTTTTTAAACTTGTAGAGTCCTCATGATGAATGCTTGTTATGAAAATCCCAAATCTAATTTTTAATATTAACCATCAGCTTTAAATGAGAACCGATTCTCATCTAAATAAGCTCATGTGTCCACTATCAATGTCACTTCAGCGTTGGTCAAAGATTGTCCATATAGTATAGTCTCACCGTTGTGGGTGTATTGTAAAATGCTTCTTAAACGTCTGTTGCCTAGAATGCTGAAACTTACAGTTATTTAGCAAAGAGTAGATGGTGGTTTGTAAGTAATGAAACGAAAATGTTTAAATCCGTAACTGTACTTTTATTATCTTCCCTTCGATAATAACACATGTTCACTTTATCTCTCATACCATGAAAAATCCCTTAGTTATCCACATCGTTCACTTTTGTTAGATATTTCTCGCTGACGTTATAGGATGAAAATAGTGGTGTTAATACACCTTTTAAATAACATAGATTAAAAATGGTTTTATTTTGTATATCCTCATAGAATTTGTACTTTGTAATGCTCCGTTTCGTAACAGTACCCATAAACGTTCTGGTTTGTTGGAGTACAATATTATATACATGAGGGACATTTACGGATCGTGATTCTTCAGTTTAATGATCATTGCCGTCTAAATAATAGACAAACTGTAAACTAAATTGGTTTAATTACAAATCTATTACTTGCCGCTTGTTGCTGAATAAATATATCTAAAGCTTTCAACTCATCTTCAGTTGACGAAGAAAAGTGTCGTTTTACTAGTCCCCCGCCAAATTATCTTAACTAATTATCTGTCGTGGGTTTTTCAACAATAGCATTAATTTCCTCATACTTTCAGATAACTCTTCAACCTCGGCTGACAGTGTTTCCATGTTTGCGTTTATCTTTATATGGTCTGCAAGACTTCAGAAAATATCCAAGTTGCCCCTGTGTTATCTTATTATTCTCACACCTATTTTACTTCTCTGATTAATAGTGATTTTATACATAAGCTGTATATATGGTATCATATATATATTCTATTCTTTAGAATACTAAACTTATTAAATGATCACCTTACACTTTCAGATGCTTATAAAAGGTTTCAACATTTACGGGCTTTTAAAGCCTGTTGGAATACGGGTACGTCATGTATTTGGTTGAATTAACTTTCGTTTTGAACCTTTAAGCATGTAGTGACTCTAATCAAAAAATATCCTCGCAAAGTACCTTCGATTTTGTTGGCAGAAGGTATTTTGCCTAAATTGACTGCAGATGACATGGTATACCAAGAGGTCAACGTAGAAACGAATGAATCTCCATGTATAAATGTTTTATTGACAGATAATGTGCCTGGTATGTTAATATTTTTATGCTGGATCGCTTCATACCTATTTGAAAAATTAGGGCGTTCTCAGAACATCTTAGATTAAAAAGCCAACAGAAGGTCTACTCGATATTTACTGGCACCTTCCTGTTGAAGCATTTCACGATTTCAACCATGAATTATTGACGGCTATATTACAATTCGACATTTCATTCCAAGTCTCCTAATTTCTTTTAAAAACTTTTGCTCTTACTCTTTTACCGTTTTTATTCGATTCAACACTTAATCATATTCATATTTCTTTCATTCAGTCAAACTGTCTGTCGCATTTGCAAGCTTAAATTTTACTCTCAAACGTTTATTTACAATTTGAAAGTTCATATTCATTTGTAGGGTATTATTATTTGTCCAATCTATCAACTAGTAATCTTCAACACATAATATTAAAAGATCTACATTACTTTTCCTGTCAATATAATGTAATTGAGCATACCATCTCCATGAGAGCTCAAATGCAAAATGATATTTAGTAAAGCAGAAACTATCAAGGAAATTAATTCACTTGATATTGTTTTACTTGAATCTTCCCATTGATTTTTATGACTGCAATTGATCAGTCTCTTATTGGCATATGTGCATACTGTGCGTATTGCCTCGATATAGCCTCAATTCACAATTATTATATGCAAAGTTGGATAGTGGCTAGCAGTGGAATCCAGTTTGACGCGCGTTTCGTGCTATTTGGGACTCGTCAGCTGGATGTACCTGCATCTCAGAGTTGATGTTCACTCTGGGACTCGAACGCGCGTCCTGGATCCCACTGCTAGCCACTATCCATCTTTGCTTATAATGCTTGTAAATTAAGGCAATATCGAGGCAATACGCACAGTATGCACATATGCCAAAAAAAAACTGATCAATTGCAGTCATAAACATCAGTGGGAAGATTCAAGTAAAACAATATCAAGTGAATTAAAGTTCACCCCATTGCACAAGCAAGTGGCTATCAGGACTCAGTAGCGAAGTGGATAACGCGATGGCGTTTGAAGCTGACGGTACTGGGTTCGAGTCCCAGAGTGAACATCAAATCTGAGATGCAGGTACATCCAGCTGACGAGTCCTAAATAAGAGGAGACGCGCGTCCTTGATTCCACTGCTAGCCACTATCCATCTTTGCTTATAATATCAAGGAAATTTTCTGACTAAAATTCTCAAAGTAGATTTAAAGTGCAACGTAATGTCTAGAAATAGAGTGTTTGAATTACAACCCAAAATATTTACATGTATAGAAAGCAATTCAATTGTTTGCCGTATGTTATCTTTTCAAAATAGAAGGGGTATTAGTAGTTAAAAATGAGCAACTTATAAAGTGCTTTTAGTGGCCCAAGATCTGACTCCAACTTGATCGTATGAATGATTGCTATCGCCTATCCTCGTATATAATCATTAACTTAAACCGCGTTAGTTAATAACGGAATCAAATAAGTCAAATAACGAGAATGGAGTTTTGAATGCATATATTTTGTATAATTGTTGATTAGACGAATGAACGGAGGAACTATGCGAAGATGAGAAAACAAAGCTAAATTGGCGCGCGGTGGAGATGGCTGGTAAGCCAACACCCTGTTGACCAAGCGTTAATCAATATTTATAAGCACACAAATAAATTACGGACATGTGATGAGTAATGGGATAAGAAATGTGCATACACCTACGCGCTCATATAAAGACGGTCAAGATATTGATAAGCGAATAATTAACAAGGTCAGAATGTGACTCAGATAGAATGAATAGAATGGGCTGTCCGAAAGTTAGAATAATAAAGCATTTGGTCTTAACATAATGACAGACACTACATGCTTTTGCATTAAATGTTGTTATTACTTCCGAACTAGGCTGAAAAATATATTTGACAGCAAGTTTTAAATAGGTACAACATCCTGAATAAAAATGCATATTTCTTTTACCCTAGGACTTGGATCTGTTGGAACAGTAACTCCTGTACATCGTAATAAGTTCTGGAAATATTTGTATATTAAGGGACTTGCTGAGTTACCGACAGAAGAAAGAATAAATGAAATGAAGTCAAAACAAACAGTTAGTTAATTCACCTTAATAAGTGTATTACTTAAGATTAATTTTTATATAAGTTTAATTTTTGTGGAAAAAGACTAATTTTCGCTGATGTAGTAGTAGTAGTTTGTACGTAGATATTGTTCTCATTCTTTTAATTTTTTTAGGAAAGACCAACTGTTCTATGTGGTGAATCCTATCTACTTCAACAACGCTTGTCTAATATGACCCTTTATATACCAATGAACCCATCTCGAGAATGGACTCTCAATAAAACTCATGTTAAAGTTGCTTTAAGACGATATGTAAGCTATTTTCAATAGAATTTCACTAATTGTTTTCTTCTTTAGGGTTTTGCAATAAAGGAACAATATATCACATTACCAAAAGAAGAGATAACTTCGAAAAATTCCAAATCTTCATTTAAAATTAGCGTTAATGTAAATCCGTTTAACAATTATATTAACAGTTTATCTTGATATTATTTGTTTCTCTAGTTAGCTCTTTTTTTTCTAATAAAATGCTTTGTTTGATTTGTTAATACTAGTAATCCTTAAAAATGACCATAGACACAGATATCGCTTTTAGACTATATTCATAATGAGTACGTACATTGTTACGTATAATTCAATTGAATTTCATTATCACTTGAATTTTCTATTATCTTTTCACATCCTGTGTATCACGTAGTCTAGTACTCAGTCTACTATCAGTCATCTAACATTTAGTGTCCTAGTTTAGGATCGAATATCAGTTTCTAGGATCAAGCAAACTCGTTTCTGTTATTATCATATGAGAGCTTTCAATATATATTATGCAGCACACATTTATTTGAGTGTTCAGTTCAATTCAATCATAGTTTATTTAATGTATTCAACTTTCCAACAATGCATTTACAATTTTTTTTTACAGATTGATGATATTGTCACTGTTGTTGTTCCATGTTCAATATTTCTTTATCAAAAGTTGGATAAAGGAATGTGTACTCAACCACCAACAAATGTTTTTAGAAAAATTAAAATTGAAGATTGGACTGCAGATTTTTCTGAAACGGATGTTTTAATTTCTATTTAAAATTATTTCAATATAAATTAATATATTTTTTTCAAAATAGTAATTGTTTTTGATTTTGTTTAATCTTATCAGGTTGTTTATATATAATCGAAACCTATCTTAGTTTATAATTTCCCATTTATTTGTTCATGTTTCTTTTCTTTATATATTTGTGTATATGCATACTGTTAACTTCATTATTTATCTTTGTTTTATGTAAAATACAGAAGAAAATTAGTTATAGTCGTCGATTCTTTTCGTATTTCAAACGTCAAGCATATGAACCGATTAAAATTAAACGATTTGATGACTCTAGTATAGGGTTTATGGTGAGTATATTTGGTTAATTTTTTTTCTTATTCTATAAAGTCATGTCGATTTCTATGTATTTATCAGTCAAACATAAATAACGTAAATCCTGGAACGTATATATATATATATATATATATATATATATATATATATATATATATATATCGACTCAAGTTGCCACACTATATCAGTACTGGGGTATGAAATTATCTAGAAAAATCCAAAAGTAGTAACAGTATTAGTAGTGATAAAAACAGACTAAGTGTATAAAATATGATTCGAGAAAAAGATATACTGAATTTGCCGACTAAAATTTGTGAGTATTTTAAGACAGAGTAAATACATCTGTATTATAGCCACTGGTTGATGTATACGACGATTCAACATACATAGTTCATGCTCTACCCACTTCAGCCAAGGTAGATTCCCTACCTCATCAATTAGTATGCCATATTTACCTAATACCCTTCGTTCAATATTTAAATTATCCACTCGGTGATTGCAGCATCCAGGAGCAATGTTTCGCAGGCACTGATCATGAAATGTCAGTAACCTTAGGAAGTCCACTTCCAAAGGCCGAATTTCTCAACCATAAAGCAGAACGGGACGAATTACTGCACAGTATACTCCTTTTTTTGTTAAGGGATGAACAAAAACTTATCTCGGTTCCTGATTTCTTGCCGAGACTTAATCAAAAGCTAACTCACTAGGGTCACTGAGACTTCCAACATAGATGGAGAAATCAATATGTTCGACAACTTCACTCCCATTAATTTAAGCGTTAACTCAAATCAGTTATAAAGCAGTATTCACGAGTATTATCGTACATTTCTAAAAATGTTGCTTAACATTTGATACCTAATTCTAAGTATCTGATAAAAATCGTAGTAAGTAGTACTATAGTGAACGAGAACACAAGTAGGGACAACTAAATGTATTTCAATAAAAAATTACAGAATGTCTTAATAGAATCCGAGAACCATACAGTCAATAATTCATTTGCAAACTGTCAATCAATCGTCTCAGTCTTTATTGTTCCTTCATTTTCACAGCAATCGTTCTCTGTTCTCGTTCTCTTCTTCTAATTCAAGCTTCTGTCGCCAGACATTTGACTTTCGACTGATGATACATACTACGTATATCTGTTGACATCAGTAGCACACACCATAGTACGCCGTAAATGTTGCTTTTGCTAGTTGGCTTTTATCAACTTATGATATGCTATTTTTGATTCATTTGTTATTTTCCTCATATTCATACTCCAATTAAGAAAACTGTTCCGATTAGTCAATGACTGATAATACATTTTCTTATGTGTTTCTGTTGTATTTATCTTACGATAAATACTGCTTTATAACTTAGTGTTTTGATTTTCCAGTCAATTTTTCACATTCTACAAAAAAGTACCCTCAATAACTCCACAATAGTAGACTATAACATCCAAAACGAAATCATTCATTGTTTATCTATATGATGCAATGTTTCAAAGTGATCAATTTTAATAGTAATTTTCCCCAAGAAGAAAAACTGGACGTGGCTCATTGGCCAAAACATTCGAAATCATACGTTCAAACCTTACTTCATCTATTTCGCTACAGGCAATCGAGTGGTATCTTCAACCTCTAGATTTAGAGTGTGGTTTAAAGGGAAGTAGTATACAAATCTGCACCCGGTGAATGAATTATTAATATGAAGGCGAAAGAACAACAACAACTAGGCATAATGTTGAAAAATTAAATAAATGTTTATATTATTCTATGAACCATACATATAGTACTCAAGTTCACATTAATAGTTAATTCTACTGATCTAAAACAGCTAATGCGTATTCAAACTCTTGATTAAGTTATTAGGTATCGGAATATCTCGACATTTGGGTCATGTTTATTCACTTTGAGACAAAATCTTATGTTTGTCATTAGTAAATTTTGAAAAAATCTGTATGTCACACTTATGGCATCTTCGATTGACGCACATCAATTTCAATTGTTGACAGTATATGCAAATACACTTTAAGCACTAAAGTAGTATGAACTAAACATCTTTGGTCACTTTGTAGGTTACGCTATCAAATATTTGTTCCTTTTTAAGAAGTATAAAGCTTTTTCGTGACTCCATCTTACGTTAAAAATTGAAATCTGTGTCTTATTCGACATTTTCTCATTGTACATTAACACTTTACTATGCTTACTAGATTTATCATTATCATTGTCAATAATTCATTGTCACTCTTGATCTTGGCTTCTTTATAACCGCCTCTACGTATATTTATGTTTCTTACCACTAATAATCCTGTGAACTACTTCAAAATTGAAGTTATTAAATTATCATATTGGAACAACCAGTATAACGACAAACTACTACTGTGTCTAGTGGTGTGGCGTTGTCTCCAGAGAACTCTTGATCTAGTTGGAACTTATCAGCAAGGTGTACCTGAAATTTTGAATTAATTAATGCGCTTTATGGAATTCTTACGCACAAGTCGATCAGTAGAATTCGATTATCATTTAAGAACTAGACAAATCTGATATTGGTCAATGCTCAGTAATTAATCAGTTGTAAATTACTACTGTCTTTTATGTACTTATGTCAACCTGGTCATCCCTATAAATACGCATGCATTCTGTGATTATTTTGTTATTACTTTTATTGATACACTTCGGTTGAATTTTTTATGTTTTTATCTCTATCTTCATTACTGCAGTTATCTGATTTAAATCAAAATGGTAAAGTTGCATTAGCTCACTTCGATCATTATTACAGTGAAACTTATGGACCAGTTGCTTGGCGTTCAATGCGTATAGCTCTATTAATGCCATCTAAAAAAGCTATTCTCTATAATCGTTATTTTCCCAATATTAGTGAAACAATTTCATCATTATGTGATCATGATAACCAGTCATTTTTACCAACCGTAAACTTTATACAAACATTAATTAAACATCAAAACTCTTTGACAAATAATGTATTCAATGCTGATAAGAATCCAAATATTATTGATGAGGTAACATGTTTATTTTATTTTTTTTGTCACGCAAAATTTTTTTCCCAATTATTTAGGAAATTCATATAATTTTTATCTATTATAACACGGAGTGTTTAAGTTTGATACTGATGCACATAACTTTCTATATTCCAAACCATTGCATGAGAAGACTGGTAGTGAAGAAGAAAGCTTATTGGACTAGACCATTTGACATACTGATACACTCATATATATAATCTACTCAGAAAATAAAATCATTACTTGTCCAATCATATGCACTTGTCATTAGATTTTTGATTGGCCCAAGGTGGTCTTCTCACCTGGTGACTTTTGATTGGTTAGCTGTGTCACTATTCAATTATAATTTATTTTTATATTATACTATGAAACAATACTTTAACAGAATTCCTGAAGACTACAAAACAAAGTGTTGTTTTTTAAATCAGGAAATTTACTTTCTTTGAAACATTCAATCAAGATACCAATTCCTTGTTAACAATGAGCGTCAAATTATATTTCCAGTTCATATTTTCACATGCTCTTCTTATTCCGACCTATTATTGATATTCAGAATTGATTTTTTTGTCTTTGTTATCATATGTGTATATACTGTTATAATAATCGAGAATTTCAAGGAATAGATTTACATAATTCCTATTGTGTATAGTTTGGTGGGTTAAGTACATGGAATTCAATTTCTGTATTAGGATTCCTCTTTATTAATTGCATTTTATTGTTATAATTATGCTGTAATACTGTTAGACCACAATATGACAATCTCAGCGCAATACCTTTTAATATTACTATTGACTAATATACAGACAAACATGACATGCGGATACCTATTACATTTGTTCGATTCCAGACTGAATATCAGTTCGTAAGTTTATTGACTTATGATTCAACTTGTGAGAGAAAAGTGTACTCTTCTTTATTTGGAGATGTTGGGTGACGACATGCTCATATTATCTGCAGTGATATAGTTGTATTTGTTGTTTCTATTTTATCCATTACTACTACAACTCTGAGATTTATCTTGATAATTCTATCTTGCTTTGTTAACGTAGTGTAGCAACTTGAATCGATGCACATATCTGCCAGGTTGTACATTGTATATGACTGACTAACTGACAGTGGATTTCTTACGTCCGATTCCCCACTGTAATGCACATTATGATTTATCCTATTTTGTTTCGCAACTTGATAATTTCCTCCTCTTTTCGTATTGATGTAAGATGCGATACTTTCCACACCAATTCTTAGATTTCCTGATTAATATAAAATATTCAGTCCTTCAAATCTGCAATTGTTTATTTCCATGCGCTGTGAAACACACAAATGTCTACCTGGAGATCAGTGAAAACTTTATGACCAAACGATTCAGTTCAGAGAACGTAACTTCACTTAATTTATCCATCTGAGTTACAAACCTTCACTTTTTCAAAAACAAGGGTTTACTTTGTGTCGCTTGTTCTTTACACTAGAACAAGTATCATACTTCGAAATGTACAATTTACACATGTTGAATAGCTGCATAATTAAGCTGTTGAATAATATCCCTTTATACATTTCGATCCCTTGATAAATTTGGATAAAACAAACTTTTTAGAGTAGTATGAGTTGATTATACTGCAAATAGACTAAATTTACATTTGTAATATTATTATAAATATTCTTTATCATACATCATTATCAATAAAGTTTAGTTAGGAACAACATATAAGAAACAAGAAAATGAAACATGTTTAACATAACAGTTGAGATTAGTTGATAGTTCCATATGTTAAAGATGAAATCATAAAATAAAAGATTATGACAGTAACCAGACGTTGAATGGAAAAAGCATTGTAAACAAATGAGTGATAAACATAGGGATCTAGTTAACATGAAATTCATGTTAACGTCATGACTGAATATGAGTGGAATATCTTATTTCAAGTTATGTAGTACAATAAAGAGATAATACAAGTGATAAGCGTTGAAATAATCTGTCTTACCGTGGTAATGAAAGATTTACCACACTTTCTTACAATGGTCAGGTCGAAAGCACCTGATGTCAATGACCCTTGAAATGCGGATTAACAGTGATGTTCGCTGCTTGTTAATTGTTTCAAATACTTTTGTGATATTTACGTCGTGTTCACTATCCACTAAATGTTTTATGATCCTACTTCTGAATACTTTATTTCCTTTCAGAAACAGCTTACGGTGAATATTTACAAGAAACCTTGTAGATTCCTTTTTTTTTAAAGACCTTCCCATTTACTTGTTTCCATAAATATATGTAAATTCATTTGGAGATGACCTTGGAGTAGTATTGATCTACTTTTGATTGATTTAAGGAACATCTAGTGTTATATTTCAAAAATAGTTGGGCTACAGCTAAACTTGTCTTTAGCATTGCTTTGATTCTGTTATCAATTCTGCCTGAAATCTCTTCACTTTTAAATGCAAGAAGAATGATGATGGGTTTTTCTATCAACTGTTGTTTCTTTGGGACTTTCTGTTATCATTTTCCTATACTTCATAATGAATTTTTTTGGAAATCCGTTTTTTAGAAGGACCGCTTTAATGTACACTGTTTTTCCTGTGTTTTTTGTTTCAGTTGAACACAATTTTCTAGCCATGCCGAATAGGATTTTGACTAGAAAATGTTATTTGTAACGAAATAAGATTAAAAACATTATAACTTAAGTATTGCCTCATCCATGTTTCTGACCTTCCTTCGTTTTATTTTTAGTTCTAAATAGTTAAATTAATTATTATGTTATTTTATTCCCTTATGAATTTGATGTTATCATGTGCTGCACTAAAATATTAGAACAAATGTAAAGCATGATTCATATCATTACAAACAGACAAAAATGTGTCATCAATATTACCTTCCGTAGAATGTTACGTCGTGGATTTCGTGTTTGAATTTTGTTTGTTCATGATTAGCCACAATGATGTCGGTTGAAATAGACTGTGCGAATGATCCCGATAATCACTCTTTCAATTTGTATATGTAATTTTCTTATTCCTAAAGTTGATATTATGCTTATCCATTACTAATTATTATTTGTGACAAGAAATCGTTGATATCACATATCTTTATGATAATATTTTCAAGATTTTCTTTACATTTTAAAGGTTATCAATGTAACACAATCTGATTCACGTCGTAGACAATTTTTAACACGTTACTGCCCATCAGATGAAACTATGGATACAACTAATCTTAATGAATTTATACCATCAACTGAATTAATTAGTGAAAATGAAATGTATACAAGAGAATGTGATACAGACTTTACATTTTATTCTAAAGATTATTATGGTATGATTAAAGCAGATGAAGATGATTCATCTGATTTACAGTCATTGAAAGTGTTAACGGAAAAATTTCATATACCTGAGAAGTTATATATTAAATGTTCACTTCCTGGTAAATTGGTTACAATACCACATCCAACTTATTTAAATGGACAATTTGGTATGTCACACATTTATCATGTATTTTTTGAAATTTTTTATATTGTCAGCATGCATTTGAGACGATTGTTGAGTTCCATTGAAATCATGAACCGATCTAAGTTGGACAACCATTAGAAACCTTTAGGCATTTCACTGCCGTTTTGTCTTAGTATGATGGGGCTCCTCAAAAGTGTGCTCCCATGAACCCACAACCGGTATGCAGACCTAACGTGCACACGCTAGGATGAAACGGCCGTCCAGTGCTTCAAGGTTTTCAGTAGTTGTCCAACTCCGATCGTCTCATAGTTTCAATGGTTTTCTATTTTATTATTATTATTATTGTGTTTCTTCGAATATGTCTAGTGTAACAGTGTTGCTGCCATTCTTTAAGTCGACTATATGAAAAATAGGTCTAGATTTAATATTTCTCTGTCGTATTAATTATTGGAAACTATTTATTTACACGATAACTAAACAGCTATAATGCATTGCTAAAAGATTTCATTTTGTTTAAGACTCATTTCCTCATCATATTATACAAATTATTTTTTTTATACTACTCAATTCTTAACATTAACTTTGATCTCAATCAATATTGACAGTTTATATATGAGTGTTGCACTGAAGAAACTTATGGTTGAATTCTTATAATCTACATTTCCAAGTTGTTTATTAACATTAATCAGATTCCTGTCTAGTATGTGCATTGTTTCGTGGATGTTTCATCATTATGATATTCAGAACCGTAATAATTCTAGCCATTTCATGTTTCGTCCTGATTTTCCATATGATTGATACTTATTTATTTATTTATTTATTTGAAAACATAAATATTGGTACAAAGGGGCACCAAATACATATGCGCTACACAAGTCATTTGATTTGTGTGTGGGCTGTGATACTGCCCGGATGTCCAGACTGAAGTAGGTGGTTGTTCTTAGGGGCCCACGCCCGGAGCCTTCGACCTAAACGCTTTTTTATTATAATAGGTAAAGTGGAATGAAACGTTTAGTTCACTAATCAAATCTTAGTCATTAAGTCATAGAATTTCAGCTTCATATAGTGCTTATACCTTTTCATTTACAACACATCAGTCAATGTTTTATAATACTGTCTTACTGAAGTATAGTGTTAAAAGTCTTACCGTAACACAAATCGTATATCGTTTACTGAAACAAATAATTTTATTTTTATCAAATGTATAAAATATCTCATCTGAACATTATACTTCAGTGCATTTAAATTAACTCAAATGATTTAAATCCTATGATGGTTACATCATTCATCATTTAATATGGACTAATCTTTGAAAGAGAAAAAAAATAATTCAGCATATTCAATATTCTCAATGTTTAATTGTTTACAGATCAACATATAACATTACTAAAATACAATTCTATCTACTGTTTGTTTTAATAATTCAGTTTATTGAATGATTATTTTATATATAATCGTTTCAACACTTGAGATCATGAGTCAATTGAAGCTAGACCACCATGGAAAAACTGGAAGCACTGGACGGCTGTGGTTGAGCACTGCTGAGGAGTCTCACAGTAGGACGAAACGGTCGTCCAGTGCTTCCAGGTTTTCTGTAGTGGTCTAGCTTCAATTGACTCATGATCTCAACTGTTGAAATTACTACAATCTCCACAAAACCCCTTCTGATATAATCGTTTATTTTTTTATTTTTAGATTTTCATACAATAGATTTAAGCTCCGTTATAACTATTTTAGCATTGAATTTACAAAAAAATGATAATATGGTTAATATGTCTACATTTTCTGGAACCAAATCAGTTATTGCACTACAAACTGGTTTATTAAGTTAGTTTTCCATTGTTTTTTTATTTGATATTGATTATTGATTTTATTAGTAATTATCAAGTATAGTGTTTGTTTATATACAAAGTGATGTGAACACAGAAATGAATAAGATATGATAAACAATGGAAGATATTTTTGAGGATATTATTTCATTTAATTCAAATCTTGTAAAACATTAATGTTTATTTATATTCTTAGTTTATTCTACAGATTATAAGGTTTTGTTTGATTTGTGATTCACTGCCAGAACGTTTCCTGTTCCAAAGCTATTGTAATTTAAACGTAATCTTTTGTACTCTATTTTCTATGCTAACCCCTAGTTTTGGGCATTATTGTATTTTCTTAATTGTTTGTGCGTTGTGATCTGGTTGGTCATTTATATTATTCATGTATCGTTTTGCACTAATCTGAGTAGGAACCGAATTAGAGTGTGAACCGGAATTGAGAACAAATCGAGTAGAGTTCCAGTCGACTTGTCTTCTCTCTCTCACTTTGTCAATAAATCAGATGATGGAATAGTTTTCGTTTCTAGTCTCACTTTGCACTCACTCATACTAGCCTAAAGGTTAAACCCTTCAGTCGTCTTGTCAAGGTTATGGTCTAGATTTGGGTAAGCTATATTCTGCATATTATTAGGTAGACAGATCAAGGACGTATGACAAAGATATTTTATTGTTTGAATATTGTAAATTGATAGCACAATTCGTTCTTACTTTTATTAAAATCAGATGTTGTACATTTATCACAATTAAAGTGCTATTCGATAACGTTGAAAATATATACCTCCTAAAAGTCATATTTCAATAATTTCTAATCTAGAGAAAGGTAGATTTTTTCCATTTTGTCTTAGGTCTTTATTTCCACTACTATCGTTCTCTCTAGCCTGCTTCGATTTGGGCACCCAGGCTGTATCATAACCCACACATGTGAGTTGTGTGGCGCATATGTATTCGGTGCCCGTTTGTATGAATATTTATGTGTTCAAATAAATTAAAAAAAATTAAGTTCCCTCTATTATATATTATCAACATATATGGTATTCCATGGTTTGGGCTGAAATTAACAAAGATCTATACGATGATTCTGTTTGTTCATCAACTGTTCTTCAATAATACGTAAAAAGTGCTTTTAAATCCTGATGTGAGACCATAATTCATGGATGATCTTTGAGCGAAGCAAAGGTGACCTTGATAGTATCCATCTACTTACTAGTGTTAAATGAGGTCATAAACCAGTGTGAAAAATTAGGATTATGATTTATATTCGATGGTTAGAATTAGGAATTAGATTTAGGGTTTTCATCACAAACTGACATCAGCTATAATGCCAAAACGCTATTTGGCCAAATGGATGAATAAATTTCGCGCCAAAATCCAAGACCTATTATCGTAAATCTGATTGGCTCGTCCATAAATTATAGTTTCACCAAACTTTATTATTAATATAGTTATTTTAATGTACAACTTAATAAAATAAACCTGTATATTGTTCTTTTCAATTTTGATCATATAAGTTTTCAGTAGGATATAATGAAAAATTATGTTTATTTTATTGTGTTTATTTATTTTCTATTATCAAGATCGTTTAATATGTGTGATACGTACTCCATCTCGTACTATTCATGTTCAGCAAATGATCAACACTTTTAAATCGTTTGGAATTAATCCTGAAGAGAATGATGAACAAAACAATAATACTAAAATCGACTTTGTTTATTCAAATAATGAATTGGCTGGTTATTTTTCTGATAATATTGATAAAGAATATAAATTTAATAAGATTTTAGTCAATGTTCCTTGTTCAGCTGATCGTTACGCAATCACATCTGGTGCTACTCACGTTTTTGAAAAGGGACAAGCTCGTGTACGTGCTCATTTATCGACAATTCAGTTAAATCTTCTCCGGTAAGTTTTGGTAGAAATTTTCCAAAATGTATATGATAATAAATAAAATGAGAGTTAATAGATAAAATGCGATTGTATGGTGCAATCAAGTACTTACGCGATCAGATTGTTGGCTCTCTGCCCGCCTCTCCTCTTGATTAACTGAAAGGAGTCAACCCGCAAGTCGTCATTAGCATATAACTTCCTGGCATGGATGTGCGTTGGCCCAAGTTGTCATACCACATTGCCGTTACGGTACGAATGTAATCAGGTAAATTACAAAACCGAATTTTTGGAATATAGTCCAAAAAGACACTAAAAAAACACAGTATATGTAAAAAAAATACTGGAATTCAAGATTGATAAAAAGATAGAAAGTTGATGATTGGAGGTAGTAGATAAGAAATCTTGAACCTAGTTTTCGTTCTGTTTGGCACTTGTTAACAAGATGTACCTGTCATTTTGATGAAACTGATGCTCCCTGGTGGAATTAATCTCATATCATCCAATTTTGTTTTAATACATAATCACTACTGTAATTGATTGCATAGAGTACAGTTAATTTTTTTTCCTCATATTATTACATTCTTTTCTTCTATTATTTTTTCTAAATAAATTTCTGTAGTCAAGCAATGGAATTATGTCAACCTAACGGTTATGTTGTCTATTCAACGTCAACATTATCACCAAGTCAAAATCAAGAAATCATTCAATCATTTATACTGAATCATTCAAAGAATATTAATTTTGCCTTGATCAATTTAAAACCATTGTATGATTTATTAACTGTTTGTTATTCTAAATTAGGTATAAAAGTTATTCCGATTTATTTACCTTTATTTGATAATAATAATAATATGAGTAAAAATAATCATAATAACAATCTATCTTCAAATAACACTTGTCATGGTTTATTAATTATTCCATCTATATCGTGTAATTATGGACCAACTTTTATTGTTAAATTTAAACGTCTCCCTTAATTGATTTATTTCAATTGGGTAGGTTTGTTGCTATGTAAATTTGTTTATGATATTTGTAAATATATACTTTAGTAATATTATTTGATTACTGATATTTCATACATTTCTGATCATTCATCTATTTGCAATGAAATGTTAACAATCGTAAATTTAGTTATTTTGAAATGTTGTGGTTTTTTACATCACCTTTTGAATTTAATTGTGTAACTATCAAAAATTAGGAATCATTGGACAGTTGTTTCATCTTATTATATGACTCTTCAACCGTTCCCATTTATAATTCCACAGATAATCGAACATAGATTCCTAGGTTTCGTAGCTAATGTTTAACATTTAGACCATTAAGTCGTTAGTCAATAGTATATATATATCATTTAATGAGATTGCTTAATCATCTTTCGCTGTTATTGAGAGGCAGCTGTCTCATACCTGACTTCGTTAAACTGCACTAGTCTAGCTTATCATTGCAACTCCAGGGAAATCGGTTTTCATTAACGATCTATATTATTATTTGGAAAACCATAAGACACACTAGATGAAGATAAATTTTTAGTCTGGAATTCATCGGTGTCTCACACACATATATACACAAGACCATTCAAGATTAAACCAAGAACCTGGTAATCATCACTAATTGACTTAAGTTAGTAAATATTGGTCATTAAATATCGAATGTTGAAGTGAATGATACAGTACTGATCATGTGACTCTGGAGATCTGGTACTTGATGTTGCGCATATATGAAAAATTGCAGTAGGTGTAGCAAATTGAAATCATTTTTTTAATGAAACATTCGTGTATATTACTTAAAACTTGAGTGAAATTCAAATACACATATTTTACCTGGTTCAAAGTCGCATATTCTATATTGTAATATGTTTTTGAATGCTATTAATATTAATCGTACAAACGTCAGACAACAGAGCTACATATGAGCCTAGAATTCGTTTAACAGCTTCACTTTGATGTTTAGCATCATCATCCTCAGAAATAGTTACGTAATAATGTGTTCAAAGAGTAATCTACTTTTACCGTAACAATGCACTGTTGGTTGCTGGTGAAATATCAGCATAGAATACTGAAGGCTCGTTTAGCTTTTACTAGCTTACAGTATTCGTAATTCGAATGAAATATCCACGTATCTATCAAAGAACAAGTACATTGGGAGCTACTGTATTGTGCATTACTTTATGGCTGGAAAACGTGGGGTATGGAAGTAAAATACATGAGTAGGCTCCTATTGTATGATCATGTATATCTTTGATGCATTCCTCCTGTATGGTAGAATCACTGAGTGAGTAATACTAATGTTAAGCGCAAGGGTTTAATTAGAAATGCTAAGTTGATTAATTAAGCTCTAAACCTTCAGTAGTTTGAACCTTCACTGTACATGTTACACAAGCTCAGTCACTGCCTACCTGAATATCCTCTTTGGCTGGAGCATGAACAAGGCAAAAGGAAGCTAGGGTATGCGAAATAGAAATAGCATCAGTCCATTAGGCTTTTCATTACAAGTCCGATCCGTTTGGTAAGGTTTAAACATCCAGGTTGAAATCCATTAAATGATCATAATCTATTGTTGGTTGAGAAGTTTCAAAATTGGTCGCGGTGTTGTGATTGCAATTACATTTATTCTTTCGATAAATGTTAAGCTTATCGTTATTTCATTTGATTGTTTCGAACTTTTCTTCGTTCCAGTACTTGGTGTAATATTTTCAGTCAGTTACTTCTAATTTTGTTAGTTCCCTCTTTTTCTTTGTGGTAATGTGATATGTGCCAAATTAGATTGATGAACCCATTCCAGTTAGATCCCACATTGTGGATGATTATCTGTCAAATTCTTAATATATAAATGTACGGTGATTACTTTTAAAGTTTGAGTTACCAATGCTGTATAGCTCATCCTTTAGATATGAAAACCATCTCTTAACCAGTCATACGCACTTATCCGACCTGTTTTCAATTGGCTTAAGACATCATTTATGAATATTTGTAAGATCAGAATCTGGTGATTTTATCTTATTTTAAATTCTGTATACTAACAACTCATAAGGATGTATTTGACATAACACTTCACAAAGACACTTAACACCTTCTAGCTGCGATACACATTTTGTATTTGATTAGTTGTCATGTCAGTTGCTATGTTAAGCTCACATAGCTTATACTGGTTTCCGGACAAGCCAATTCACTCTTCTTGAGTCACGTCTTGACCTTGTTAATTATTCACTTATCAACCTGGACTTTTTATGTAAGCGTATGTCTGCTCATTCCTTATCTGACTCACCACATATTTTTAACTTATTTTTGTTCGACTATAAGTGTCAATTCACTCTTGGCTAAATTGAGTTGGCTTACGTGTCTTCTGCACCATGCGTCGTCTCGCTTCGCTCTCTTCTCTTTGCTCGTTTATTTGGATCAACGGTTTTGTGAAAGATACGTACTCGGAATTCATCCTCGTATTTGATTTATTTAATTCCATTATTCACTAATGCGATTTAAATCGATGATTATATACGAGAATTAGCTATATGTTTATTTCAATAACATTCATACCATCCATTTGGAGTCAGATATCGGGCCACAAAATAGTCTCATAGATTTCTCATTTGAGCTGATGACCGACAGTGTGAATTAGAGTTGAAATCAGTATCTCTCTCCTTGTTTCTTTTAATCTATCATTGCTTAGTGTATTCATAGCGATAGTTCAACAACTTGTAGGGAAATGTGTAACTATTATCTTTTCTGTCGAAGATGTGAAATCTATCGAGACCCTATACTCATATTTGAACTGAATCTTATAAACATGGACATACTAATGAACCATTATATAATAGCTGTCAAAAATACAAATATTTGCAATGATCCTCGGACACTTAGACGTATCATTCATTCATACAACTTCAATTTCTCATTTATTCATCCCGAGATAAACAAAGTTTAATAAATGAAAATGTTTTAGACTGAACGATATGACTGATTAAAATATCGTCATTCTGAATGGTGTATATAACTATTCCAACTGTCACACGTTTACAATATTACACATTATACGTTCATACTGATAGAAAATAACGCGATATACTAATTCAAATTCGACATGTTTATATAATCACTTTATAATATCGAAACTAAGAATGTTTACATATAAAATGTGTGTAACCCATTAAACATTTACAATCCTGCATATGGGATTCGAACCCAGGACCTTCATGACCAAGGGTCTCATTCTAGGACGAGACGGCCGTCTAGCGCTTCCAGGTTTTCAATGATGGTCTAGCTTCAATCGACTCATGAATTCAACTACTGAATTATTACAATCTCCTCAAACTTCCATTCTGATAATAACCCATTAAGCTCTTATAGACTGAGTAAAGTCGATGTTTTTCCTGATTACTTCTAATATTCATTCAATGAAAAAGGGAACACTAACATAAATTACTTATATATTTGATTTTAAAAAAGTCACATTAAATTACAACTATTCACCAAGTATATTTTATTATATACATTTAAATGTTAATATTAATTTGTAAATTGTATAGGACAACTGAATTCTTTCGATGTAAATAATTTGAATGTATACTGATTTGATGTAATGAATTTCATGAAATTTTGCCGAATTTGATCAATAAGATTGAGTACTTTCGAAGATTCATTCTTTCAATAATAATAAATCATAATGGTAATAGAATGGTTTCTTTTTTTAAAGAGAAAATAGTTTTAAATATAAATAAATATAGAAACAAAACTATACAGACCTCCATGTGTGTTTCAATTCGATTTTCGCACAAAATTCAAAATACAATGAAGAATTTCAATAGTTGAAATCATGAGTCAATTAAAGTGAGACCACCATGGAAAATCTGGAGGCACTGGACGGCCGTTTTGTTTTAGTATAGGACTCCTCGGCAGAGCGCACCCACGATCCCGCTCCTCCCACGAGATTCGAATCCAGGACCTATCAGACTTGTGCGCGAGCGCTTGACCGCTAAGTTGGCCGGTATCCAAAGGTGTTAATGTCTAACTTCAACAGATCCACGGAATTGAGCCACCGTACATCATTGTCTTCAGTGAGCCGTCCAGTTCTTCCAGGTTTTCCATGGTGGTCTAGCTTCAATTTACTCATGATTTCAACTATTGAAATTTCTAAAAATCTCCACAAAATCCCTCCTCACAATAAAGAATACTATTTATCTTACTAACTAAAAATTATTGTTATTTTAGTTCGGAAATTGATAAAATCGTATTTTGTACAATTACACATGATAAATATGACATTATATGTAAACTAGATTAGGGAAAATACCTGCTTACGATTGTATTTGAGTTTTCCTAATGTGAATTACGATAGAATCAATGATGTATTCTCCCACTTGAATTAGGTTTTATAATCGTAACATCTAACTCTGTAATCTTTTGTTTATTAGAAACAGTACTTACTTACTTACTTAAGCCTGTTGCTCCCAATGGAGCATAGGCCGCCGACCAGCATTCTCCAACCCACTCTGTCCTGGGCCTTCTTTTCTAGTTCCATCCAATTCTTGTTCATTTTTCTCATATCTATCTCCATTTCCCGGCGTAATGTATTCTTTGGTCTTCCTCTCCTCCTTCGACCTTGAGGATTCCATATGAGGGCTTGTCTTGTGACGCAGTTCGGTGTTTTCCTCAATGTGTGTCCAATCCACTTCCAGCGTTTCTTCTTGATTTCTTCCTCGACTGGGATCTGATTTGTTCTCTCCCACAGTAGGTTGTTGCTTATAGTGTCCGGCCAGCGGATCTGAAGTATTTTGCGTAGACAACTGTTAATAAACACCTGTATCTTTTGGACGATGGATTTCGTAGTTTTCCAGGTTTCCGCCCCATACAGTAGAACTGTCTTGACATTTGTGTTGAAAATTCTGAATTTGTTGTTGGTTGCTAATTGTTTTGAGTTCCAGATATTCTTCAGTTGTAAATACGCTGCTCTTGCTTTGCCAATCCGTGCCTTCACATTTGCATCAGATCCACCGTGTTCATCGATGATACTGCCTAAATATGTAAAGGTTTTTACATCTTCCAAAGCTTCTCCGTCAATTGT